TTTTTTTTTTTAAAGGCTAATTCTTTAAGCCCAACCAATTCAATTACCTGTCAAATCTGGACAGGACGGCCTTTCAGGCCTTTTTTATTGTCATTGATCTGTTGGCAGAACGGGAGTATAGGAAAAGATATTTATAGGAAAAGATATTTATAGGAAAAGATATTTACTATTAGTCAGTCATACGGTGACGAGCCAGCCGATTGCCTGCAAGCTCGTAAACTTCACGCATCGCCATCCAACGGCTGATATTAAACTTCGTTTGCTTATGATACTCTTCTCTCCACACGAGCTTCCGAGAAGCTAGACGCCCATGACATGAGATTTCAGCTTTCACATTTTCCTCTTCCGTCGCCTCAACCCTGCAGAACACACACACTGTCAGGTACTTGCTCGTCACTTTCACACTTAGAATCTCTCTCTCTCTCTCTCTCTCTCTCTCTCTCTCTCTCTCTCTCTCTCTCTCTCTCTCTCCCCCATGAAAACAGATCAAATCGAATGGGCCAATCCCGGGCTCTGCATCTAATTAACAAAATACACAAAGTCCACCATCGCCACCTAGTATGCAGGTACTACACGAAATGCCAACCCGGTGGCTACCATCATCCCACCCCAAACGCAAACAAACACCCCTCCACACCCACACACACCCACACACCCACACACCCACACACCCACACACCCACCCACACACACAAGCACACACACAAATGCAAACATACACACAACTTTCAGTCTAGTGACAGCAATATAATGACCGTGCGTTCTATTCGGGCAAACTGTGCATCCGTTGCATTCTCGAGACCACTGGGGTTTTGGCCATGATTTTCGTTGCTGCAATTTCGGCGGTTTTTTAACCCAAATCATCAGGGCTTAGCGGGGGCAAGTCCAACTAGCAGGTTGAGTTTCCTCAATGCCTGAATCTGGACGTGTTTGTGGAGATGTGCAGAACTGGCGTTGAGCTTCCTCAACCGCACATCAGGCGTTGAAGAAACTCTATACAGCTAGTGGGACTTGGCCCCGGCTTCCGGCCAGTAGGACCCCTGACAAATTTTGATTCAAAAAACGCCCAAAATTGCACCCAGGAACGTCAAAGTTAAATGCCCAAAGGAGTGAAAAACAGGGGCATGCATACCATGGAAACTTGGACGATATTCCGTCCAGATTCCGATTCATTCATGCTATGTCAACTGCACAGATTGCCCATTCTTCCCTTCCTTCTTTGTTTCTCCATTTCACTTTCACAGACTACCATCTTCCCCCCGAATAGAACGCACGGTCATTCTTGCTGTCACTAGACTGGAAGTACTACTAAAGCCCCAAGACACAGCTATAGTGAGCGTGCGTTATATTCGGGGGACGACAGTAATTTTCAGACCCCATTCGTCAAGAGTGACAAGGAGACGAATTCTGAAGCTTTAGTCATCAAAAGCGGCAAAGAGGCTCATTTTTCCAAAAAAAAAAAAAAAAAAAAAAGACTTGTTTTTAAAGCCTCGGTCATCAAGAGCGGCAAAGAGATTCATTTTGTCCAAAACAAAAAAACAAAAAAAAAAGACTCAGAAGAAGCGGCTCATTTCCAAAGACCCGATCGGTCTCAATGGGCAATGCGCAAAGCACGCATGTACCACACGCCCTTCATAGCACACGAGATACACGGTCACACTTGAGGACAAGATGCTTAAGATGNCACACGAGATACACGGTCACACTTGAGGACAAGATGCTTAAGATGAAGAAAATGGGAAAAGTATCCCCCTCGAGATCTCTCCGACGTAGCTCCCAACACGTGTTTCGCCCACGTGTCAGTCGTGGCCTCCTCAGGGGATACCACCCCTCGTCTTCCACCAAAACGATAACCGCTCTCATCCACACTCCCCAGACACGTGTCGTGAGGCCACGTGTAGTCAATGACACCGGAGGCATAGCTCCGATGTTGACGACAACGGAACGGCATATTAAAAAAAAAAAAGTTGTCGCTAACACGGATCGGGATCAAGAACAAACAGAAAGAAAAACTGCATAGCGAATGAATGTCAGGTTATCAACACACACAAAAAAAAAAAAAAAAAAAAAAAACTGTCCAGATACCTACCTGGGCTACCAGCGGTACCGCCCCGTTTAACTTGGTTGTTGCCCGGGCGGCCGTGCAAGGAAAGGTCCCAGCAATCCCCCCCCCCAAAAAAAAAAAAAACAAAAAAAAACTATGTTATGTAGAAAAAGAAACTGAACAACTTTTGCCTCAGGCTCAGGGTCACCTCGAAATTCTTTACCAGATTATGTTTTTTCTATTTCTTTTTCTTTTTCTTTTTTTTCTTTTTTTTTTGGCCCGGTCGGCCAAGTGGTCCCAGGGGCACTCTGTTTGGGTCTCGCCGCACGGCACACGAAACGAAAACGAAACGAGTGCATCTGCCCACGAAAGGGGGCAAAATACACTGGTTACTATTTATAGCAAACCGATGAACCTGGCCATTTTCTGCAGGAAGATGCACTCGCTTCGTTTTTCGTTTCGTGTCCCGTGCGGCGACGCCCTTTGCCTAGCGAGATACATTTACAAGATCAGTTTTTGGCGAATCGGAGGTTTTGTTGGCATCTCCTTTGACTACCTTCTTCCCCCGACCCCCGAATACAACGTACGGTCATTATAGCTGTATCTAGACTGAAAGATACCCCAAATACAGCTATAACGACCTTACGTTGTATTCGGGGGTCGGGGGAAGAAGGTAGAGATGGACGTTATCAACTTACTACCGTCTTCACCGGAATAGAACGCCGGGTCATCACAGCTGTATTGGGCACAACTTTCAGTCCAGATGCAGCGATAATAACCGGGCGTTCTATTCAGGTGAAGACGGTAGCTAGGCTACTTGGCTGACCCCGCTGCTCACCCCGGGCAAGCCGCACGGGGATCACCTGCACGGGGCACCCTCCCGGGCAGGCAAAAAAAAAAAAACGTTTTTTTCTGTGTTTTTTTTTCCGGCTGGAGGATTTCTGCGCATGGCCAGCGGGCTCCGTTCTTTTTTCGAGAGTTGGCTGTCAAGGGCGGGGGGGGGGGCCGGGCGTGGGGAAGAGGGGTGTACACTACAATAAAGTGGTCTTTCGAGGGGCTAAAGGGGTTTTAAGGGGGGTGCCTTTACTCTCATTCTGTTGTTTTTCATTTTTATCTTCGATTTTCCTTGAGGACTTCTGATATGACCCTCTGCCAAATTCGACAAGTAATTGAATTGGTTGGGCTTAAAGAATTAGCCTTAAAAAAAAAAAAAAAAAAAAAAAAGTCGTTTGTATTGCAATTCTAGGCAACATTTTTTTTTCGCTCGAATTTTTCTTTTCTTTTCTTTTCTTTGCTTTTTTTCGGTTGCTGCGCGGTTACGCGCGCACAAGTGCGTTGCCCAGGCGCCCGGACAAACAGCCTTAGCCTAGCTTATTAGCAAAAATACTGAACATTGAAAATTCAGATTTTTTTTTTTCATTGGCTGATTGATCCTCTCAGCTCCTCCACATTTTTTTTCATTCTGGGAAATTTAACTCGGGCCCTCAAAAAGCTCTTAAAAAATAAAATAAAATAACTCCGGACCTCTATTGGCATATTATGTAGTAGAGTCTGGTAGACCTACCTTCTTCCCCCGAATACAACGTACGGTCATTATAGCTGGATCTAGACTGAAAGATGCCTCAAGTACAGCTATACTGACCGTACGTTGTATTCGGGGGAAGAAGGTAGAGTTGTGTTGAATTCTTTTTTTCTTTTTTCTTTTCTTTTTCTTTTTCTATTTTCTTTTCTTTTTTCTTTTCTTTTTTCTTTTCTTTTTTCTTTTCAACTTTCTTTTGTTGTCAACATCGCAATGATGTTGTTCTCGGGGCAGGCACATATTTAACCCACCTGTGCACCCCCTCCCCCCCCCCTCCCCCTCTCCACACCCCCCAAAACCCTTTTCTCAGAACCTTCTGGCCATGTTACATGTGTACATGGAGCNAAAAAAAAAAAAAAAAAATAAAAAAAAAAAAAAAAAAAACCTGCTGGATCGACATATTGAACGCCATTTATTGTGTGGAACGAAGTTCAATGGCTGTTTTGAGAAGATGATGAAGATATATTAAAAAAAAAAAGAAAAGGCTAAGCATACGTTATCGGCCTTTTTATCTGAGATCAAGTGCAGTGAATCTGTTCTGCTCAGTTTAATATATCTGATCCGTGATCCATGGGGCGACATTAAAAAAACGAAAAAAAAAAAAAAAAAAACAGCTAAGCTTATGCTGAGAGCAAATGAATGACGAGAATATCACGGTGACTTAGCCGGCAACTGGCCCCGGTACCTTAAAAAAACTGTACAGTGTATTTGGTCAAGGGACACAGGGCCCCGTTTACAGCACCGTGTTGCTCACCACGAATAGATCGGACTCATCGGAGCTGTGGCTTTCCTATTAAAAAAAAAAAAACACGTCGCTGGATTAATCGCTGTAAAACTCGGCGACCGCGGTGGTGAGTCGGTAGAAACAGAAGCCTAAACTGGTCGGTAGATTCTAGTTGTGTGTTTGGGGCAACTTTCAGTCTACATACAGCGATAATTACCGGGCGTTGTTGACTAAACAGCGGTGACGACGGCAATTTGATGAGTCAGTCAAGTCACCATCTTGATTTCGACGCAGAGCTGACGAGCATTTAATGTTGATGTCAACGACGCCGGCACGTGCGAAATAAAGAGAGATGCAACCGGTCTGGCAACATCCACACCAGTAGAATGGAACGAATTAAAAAATATATATATATATCGTCACAAACAGAACTGCCCGGTAAACCGTAGGCAGAGAGAGTATATATATTGTCACGACTCACAAGTATATATATTGTCACATTGTGAATCAGAGCGCAAAAAAGGGAAAAGAAAAAAGGAAAAGGAAAAAAGGGAAAGAGATTTGTCACAAAAATATCAGAGCGCAAAATATATATATCGTCACATGAATATCAGAGCGCAAAGGCGAAAAAAAACAGAAGAGTCCTTCGGGACATCCGTTAAAATTGGAACGATACAGAGAAGATTAGCATGGCCCCTGCGCAAGGATGACACGCATAAATCGAGAAAAAAAAAACAGAAGAAAACAAGAAAAAAATAATTCGTTTTTTTATCTTCTTACTTACAACTCCCCCCCTGTTCAGGACCTTTGGCGTACAAGGCCGCCCACGTGGATGTAGGTTGAGCGGCGGCTGCCCCCACCCCCGTGTGTCATATCGAC